CACTGATCTTGCAGGAAAGGACAGCTATCGAGTCACCAGTTTGCTGCTCATAATTACATATCTAATTTACTTAATTATGAAGATAAAAATAATTACATATATGCTAAAATCTATATGCATCCACTATTTATAATATGATGAATCATTCATACGTATGTAAGATTTTAGTCATAATAATAATCATAATAATAATTATAATCATAAGATAGTCATAATCATAATTATAGTCATAATCATAATTATAGTCATAATCGCAGTCATAATCAATTTTAATCATTTACATAGCATGGATTATATAAAACTATTTTTATTTATTGTGTTGGTGCATAATTATCAGGCGTTTTTTTAAATAAAAATTGCTGTTTTGTTTAGTATTTTTTTTAATAAAAAATATTTTATATTCAGGTTATAAAAATGCGTGTCGATAATTATACGCTCCGGAATAATCATTTAAAAATGTCATTGTTAAATTGCTGTTTCTTTTTTTTTTTATTATAAATACTGTTTAAAAACGCCTGATAATTATGCACCAACCCAATATAAATTGATATAGATTTTTTTCTAGATAAAATATTTTTGTAAAAATGTAGATATTGTAACTTTTAAATATTTGGCTTTAAAAATGTTAATTTCTGTATTATTTATATTATTATTAGATGACCCTGAAATATTGAAAAAACGGGAAAAAACGAGAAAAAAACAAGAATATGTAAATCCTTAAATGACCCATGTCCCCTGTGTCAACATGAAAAGCTATACATTATTAAGATTCTTAAAAATAATCATCTATTAAATCAGAGAAATGAGCTGACTGTCATATGTAGACATTGTAAAATGCTCACCTTAAAATATAGTTTATGAATTTTCACAAAAGTCTGTATATTACATTTATATATTTATCATTTTATTATATATTACGATCATTTAATATTAATTTAATTCCTGGATTTTTAATTTTAAATTGCTTTGTATTAAGAAGATATAATGAATAAAATATGAATTGTATTTTGGTTTAAAAATATATAAAAAATGTTTTGATCATATTCAGAGGTCCCTTTAAGATAGTTCTAAAACATATATTAAAATAAATGAAACAAAAAAAAAAACCCCAAAACAACTATTAAACCACTGTCAGGGATATACATATTTCTATGAATATTCCTTCGTAACGTAAATTAAGCAGAAAGTAAGGTGTCTAGCCGTTAATATGACAGTTCCCCGAGACATGTATGAATACCACACATCCCCAACATCTAACCTATATTTTTAACTTTTCAAATTCAGCGTTGACCTTCCTTCTGATTAGTTAAAATTGACACACCCATAAGATGTAAAAATCTAGATTTCCCCTCCTCATTAACTATTTAAAACGCAAACCTATTGTTTACAATTTTCAGATGTAAATCATTTTCAGCAAATTTACCAAAAATTGCCTGATTTCGAGATAAACACTTTTAAGTCTCGAAATATAGAAATTTTCGTGTGGCAATGTAAAATAGTTTTAAAAAATAGCATTAAAATATTAAGCTCTACATTGTAAAAAAAAGTAAATGCCAGAGAACTTAATCTGTTTGTTCTTTCTCTACATTTGTATATATATATATATATATATATATATATATATTGGAAGTATATTTTTTTACTCTGACATTATTCGCCGATTAACTGAATTGTTTGTTTAAATAAAATTAATTTTCTCATGCTTACGGTTCATCGGTGAAACATGTCAAAATGATTCTCATATATTTGACATTCCATCCGATTGTCATCTAATTTTACTTATATATATATATATATATATATATATATATATATATATATATGATATATATATATATATATATATATATATATAAAATTATATAACTATATATTATAGTTATATAATTTATTATTCAATTTATTGTAATGTACTTGTAATCTCTGATGATGGCTTATGTAAGGCGAAAGCTTAGACAGGATTAACAATAACAACATGTATCAACATAGTGATTTTGTTTCGTGTTTCCGTGATAATGCTAAAAAGCTTGTTAGGCAATATGAATGAAATTTATATAAAATGAATTGACAAAAGTTGTCTATATTATTTACTGAAACATGCATTAATGAAAAAATTGCTGCTTAAATACGCACACACACACAATATATATATATATATATATAAATATATAAGTGAACATTGAAATCAACACTCAGAGGCGACAGGCTGTTTTCATGCTGGACGCAATCGTCAGGCCGCCTCTCTATGATATTGTACACATTAAAACAATATTTCTTCACACACACACACACACACATATATATATATATATGAATATGTCGATTGATTCAAGACAAGTTCAATAAAGTGTGGGATAAAGTGTGAAGATCGAACTCATTTTATTATTAACACTGTCAAAGACGAGTTTCTTCGCCACTACTGACTCTTGAATTGATCTTTGCTACGCCATTTTGAAGCAAAATTGATTGCCACTTCCCATCTAAAAATATAATTGCAAAACAATTTGGCCTAACATGACGTTATTTCAGTAAAAAAGAAATGAATGAAAGAAGAGGAAATAGTTGTCAATTAACAAAAATTACAACATTATTTACTATTTGTCTGTGGATAGATTGGATTCTCACTTCTGGCAATAACATCCACAAATACGAATCGTACAATCTCAAGATTTTCATTTTTTTGTTTTAGATTTAAAGTTATATATATATATATATATATATATATATATATATATATATATATATGTGTGTGTATGTGTGGTGTCTTCACTTTAATGAGGCTATTGTGGACTCTTCCACTTAATATAAAATAGTAGGAAAGTAAACCTCGGGGGAACAATGATCTAGACTGTTCTACCGAGGTTATGACTGTTTGCAGCTTCTGTCGAACTCTCTGCTTTGTACGGAGAAGAACCCGGACGAGTCTGTGCCAAAGGCCAGAGTCTCGTCCAGGTAGGTAGGCAGGCCTGAACCCGTTTTTGCGTGTTCTACAGGGTTTTTACCCACTTTAAACTCGGCTTTGTGCCACATGTATCCTTGAAGGTGTTGGGGGAGCTACTAAATATAACAGTGATATAGACTGCTCTACCCGGGCTGTGACTGAGATAGACTGCTCTACGTAGTAGTGTCACTCTAAATATTTGACATGAATATAGCGATGGAATTGATTAACAAGCGACATAGATAATTACTAAGCATATCATGGTCTGGAGTAAACAAAAAAGATTGTATTGCGTCAGTTTTGAATGTAGGAAAATAAACATTTGAAATCTTAGCGCAGCTTTAGCAGTTAATATTAATAACGGTAATAACTATTTGAAACTTACAAGTCACACTCCATATAACTATTTGAAACTTACAAGTCACACTCCATATTTGTTCTCGGACGATCACCGAACTTAAATAACGTCGAGCCTCATCAGGACTTAGATGGATGACCGCAAGTTTGGATGTCTGTGTGATGCAATGGATAACGACTCAGTATTGGAAATCGAAGATTCAAGTTCCAATTCCAGTTGAGTTCATTGTATTCAATTAAGTGTCAGTACCCTTGCGAAGGGTATAAATCCACTTCTACTCCTGTCTATGAATTAATTAGTAGGATTTTTTTCGTATTTTTCCAATGAAACATGACCCAGTGCATATGTTAGTACTTCGTATGTCCATTTCACGAAGTCGTTCCTTGCAGATTGATCACGGTCGATTGGATTTAAGTCAGGGGAGTTTCCAGGCCACTCTGTAGTACTTTGGTTTGCTCATTGGTAAGTTTTGCCAGTGTGTTCATGCAGTGTTACAATTTTCCTACGCTTCCTTGGTTAACGTCCATCGCTGACAATGGCCGTAGGACAACTAATCGACAGTCAGGACAGTAGTGTCTGTGCGGGATAAAAATCTGATGTAATAACGGATGACGCAATATTTTTCAAGGCCAAACAAATTTCATCATACACCCTGAAAACAGATTCATATTACTGTACACCACTGCAAATGACCTAACCTGATTAAAACAGAATTCGATTACACCTTGTCATTCCAGTGGGTTTTAAAACTGACTGTATGGTGAAAGAAAGGAAACTAAAGCGGTTGTTTCAATTAATTTGCACAAGGGTCTATCTATCTGTGTGTTTGAGCAATGTTGACATTTTGTGCAGATTTATTTATCTTTCATTTTATATATTTGAATATTTTTGAATTTTTTACTTGATACTAATTACTGATAATTATGGCTGGAACATGGACCCAATATGTAAAGCATCGATAAAGTTTTAGAGAAAATAGAAACAAAAAGTTATATTTTTCAATCCAAATATTATCTAAGACCTGTATCTTTACATGCTGAAGTACAATTTTATAGCACAAATCTGGCTACTGCATGGAAATGAAGAATTCCTTTTCAGCCGGAGAGATCTGCTCTCCCCATGTTCTAATGGTGTGCGTTTTTCTTGCGAAAAAAAAAATAGATTGAATAGCCACCATGATCAGCGCACCCCACGTTAATGGAGTTCTTCGTTTAAGGTGTTTAAGATTAAGTATTTTCGAGAAAAACACGCACAGAATAAGGAGTACATGAATATGCAATTACTGAAGGTTAGCAATTTGCGCATTTCCGAGATTGTAGTTAATTACAAGTTCAAAATCTAAGCACGTGTATTCTACCTAATTTATTGTTATGTTTTTTTTTATTATGACCTTCCAAGCGATTGTACTAATCATAAATTTGTAAACATCTGTATGTTTTCCATGATAAAAACTTTAGTTCTGTATATGTGTGCGCATAAATTTGTAAATATCCTAGTTATTTATTTAATATATGAGGTATATATTTAATAATTTTAAAATCTTACGATTTTCCATATATGATTATAGATGAAATAAAAGATATGGATAGGTATTAAATCCGGTAAAAAGAATAAAGAAGGAAAGGTAGGAAAAATACCATTAGTTTAATATTAAGTGTGGATGACGGAAATTTCCTATAATATTGTTCCATGGATCACTAC